GCCGGCGACTGTCCCCTTGGCGGGCGCTCCGGCGAGCTCGGCGCGGGAGAGGAGCGCGGCGTCCCAGCCGCGGGCGGCCGCTGCCGTTCCTGCCTGCTCAGTCCCGCGCGAGGCAAATACCGAATGGGGGGCGAAGCGGCCTAAGCTGTTTTTTTTTAGTATTGGGATCAAACTCAGGGCCTCAAGCAGCTCAAGTGCTCTACCCCTGAGCCACACCCCCAACCCCCAGCGAGTTTATTTATTTTAAAGTAAAGAATCACAATGTCCCGGTTCGCGTCCAAATTCCCGCTCGAGCGCCGTCGAGAGAAAGTGGAGAAGGTAACTTTCCCAGTCAGGGGGCCGCGATAAGTCAACGGGAATTGTCCTGCGGCCGTGATTGGAGCGACATCTGCTGGGAGCTTTCAGCATTTTCGGTCCGCTTTCGGTGACCCAGTTTGTCAGGCGGTTGGTAATCTCTGGGTTTGGTTTCCCCGAGAAGGGATCTTAGGCGAAGGATGGGGGGTGGCGGGAGGGCGGAGGGCTGCAGAGGGCACCTTGAGGCCTAGACCTGGAGAGATGAGTTCTGGGGGTGCTGTTCCTAACCCACCCACCCCCCAGCCGGGCCCTTCAGAGACTTTAGTGAGCCTACTGGTTTTGTGTGGGAAAGTGTGGGGAGGCAGCGCCAAGTAGAGGCTGAAGACTTAAGAGAAATTGGAAATTGCAGGGGTGGTGAAGTATGCGTTTACCAGCTACTACACCCTTGATAAAAGTAATCCCGTGCGGGCCGTGGAGGCGCACAATTGTAGTCCCAGCACTGATGGAGGCTGAGGCAGGAGGAGTGCTTTGAATTTGTGGCCAGCCTGGGCTATATAGTAAGTTCAAGCCCAGCCTGAATTACAAAGCAAGACCTTGTCTCAAAAAACCATAAATAAATAAATCCTGTGATGTGATTTGACGGTCCTGAAATGATCCATTATTTTAAGTGGCCCTTTCCACCTGGAAGGTATTGCCTTCGGTAGAGAACTGGCCCTGGTTTTATCCGCTAAGGAAGCTAATGACCTTAATCGTTCTTTAAAATGACAAAATTAGTGCACCTGGAAAATACAGACATGACTGAAGAGGGAATGGAGATGTAACACTGATAATCACCGTGAACGTCGTCGTGTATTTCCTTCCAGTCTTTTTTTTTTTCTAGTTGTGTAAATGATGTACAGAATTTTACAAAGGTACTTTGTAAAGTACTAAAGGTACTTCCTCATTTTCTTAAGTATTCTTAGAACAGTTTTTGACTGCATAGTCTGTCATGTAAGTGGGCCATATATATTCTGTCTCCTATTGCTAGGCGTGTAGGATGTTTGTCAGCTTTTTACTGGCACATAAATCTGTGTGTTGTCTTAGAATAAAATGCTATAAATTGAGTTACTGGGACACAAGATATATACAATCTCAGGACTTTTTTTTAGTACTGGGTCTTCACTACATCCCCACCTGATCCTCTTTTTTTGTTTTTTTTTTTTTTTTAAAGACAGCAAGATAGGGTCTCTCCAAGTCAATAAATTGCATGGGCTGGGCTTGAACTTGTGATTTTCGTGCCTCAACCTCCAGACTTCTGGGATTAGAGGCACACATGACCTTTGAAATAAATTACCAAATTGCTTTCTGGAAAGGTTTCTCATTTTTATCTCTGTTCCAGAGAACAGGACTTTTTTTCATGTTGTTCCTGATGTTGGATATGGTTAAGAAGACAAAAATAAGACCAGCTTGGTGTACAAAAAATGGTATCTGATTTGTTGTAGTTTGATTATTAAAGTTAAATCTGTTCATATGTTCACTGGTCATTGAATCCTCATGCGAATTCTCATGTGAAGCCATCTCCCTTGTCTGTTTTGCCACGTGGTGGGCTGGGGGGCTGTCAATTTAATTGAGTATATTGGCTTTATGGCATAATGGGAGCCAACTCTCCCAGGGCCTGTGTCCTTTAGAAGGATGAGCATTGGAGTTCTAGGTCTTCAGAGACAATGTACAGGAAGTCCCCAACTTATGAATGAGTTCTGTTCTGAGAGAGTTGTTTGTGAATTGGATTTATTCATAAACTAGCAACTTGAGTCTTACGCAGTACCCCCGTGAAAGTTCACAACTTGAATGTGTATAGGTTGGGGACTTATTGTTTTAGACCCTGGAGAACAGGGAAAATAAAAATGAGGAGTCTTTGAATCCACCAGTGTGCAAACTCCCACACTTGACTCTCATTAACTCACTGGGGAAGAAGTTGGTGAGTTGAGGTCACTGTGCCTGAGTACACAGGTGTTTTATTCACCAGCAGCACCACTTCTTAAGGACTTCATGTCAGATGTGGGTGGGTTTTCTTGGTGTACATTATTTTGCTTAATCACTCCCAAAAAGATACAAGGTAGATACTTCCTATTTTGCAGATGAAGACTGGAGCTTAGTGATATGAAGCCTCCCACTTGTCCTCACAAAGGGGTTTTAATTACTGGTGTAGTGATGTCCAGCTTCAGCCACTACTTCACTTGCTTGTGTATTATAATGCAGTGTGGACACAGACCCATCCTCCAGTCTACCCTCCGCAGAGCTGCACTGATGCCCCCTCTCCCTGGCCATACGCTGCAGTGCTTGTGGAAACGTGACCCTTTGGCACCGCCTGCTTAGATTTACCACCCAGATGAGAGGGCAGTGGGAATGAGTGCTCACAACCCCCTTTTGTGGTTGTACAGATGTCTGTACAAGTTAGCTTCGCTGCTGACCTGTGCCTTTTTGTTTTCTCTTTTTTTTGTTGTTTTTTATTTTCTAGATAAAAAATCTCAACCGCGGTTTTGCCAAACTGAAGGCACTTGTGCCATTTCTTCCCCAAAGCAGAAAGCCTAGCAAGGTTGATATCCTTAAAGGTGCAACTGAATACATACAAGTTCTCAGTGATGTTTTGGAAGGAGCCAAGGATTCAGAGGTAAAGGTTTAAGAATTTAGAAAAATGGCAGACAGCATTTTGGAGCCTTTTCTCCATGTGAGGGATTATGCCAAGCAATTTATGTATACTTTTCAGTTAGTGGTTATAATAATCCTTAGAGGTATTTATGGTCCTCCTTTGACAGAGGAGAAAACCAAAGCATAAGTAAAGCCCACACAGCTAAGAAGTGTCAGGATTAGAGTTTAAAACCAAATCTGGATGAGACCCTGACCATTTATTTACCCACCTCCTGTCGTTGTTCAGGGTGCCTAGGTGATAGCTGCTGAATTTTTAATAATCTTGATAACTGGGACACAAAAAAGGGCTTCCATGAAAGCACTTTGTGGTGGTAGTTTTCTGTTAGCAGAACATCCACTAGGACGCACAAAGGGGTTTTGTGAAAATTTAACAGAACAATATACATGAACCTGCTTTGTAAACTGTGAAACACCGCTGTGTCACCAGCATTATTTGGGTGGGTTAGTGCAGAAGCAGTCAGCAGGCAGTGAATGGTGCAGGCTAATTTTATGGCTCATGCCATGGACAGGCAAACCCAAAGGCCTGCAGATGAATCTGTTGTCAGGGCATATAAGACATGCAGAGAGAAAAGGCCTTTGAAATCCCTGAATGATGCCTTAATTGGAGGAAATCATTAGAATGGAGAAGATGGAGGAACAAGATTGGCAGAGGGGCTGAGAAGGAGAGAATCTTGGGAAACTAAGGGTGGAAAGTAGAAGATGTTACAGAGATTAGGAAAGGTCAAGACCGAAGGCAGCCATGCCCAGCATTTGAGAGGCAGGAGAGGAATGGACTAGAAGTCAACTCCTAGGAGGTTGGAGTGCATTACTGGTTCAAGCAAAGGCAAGTGGCAAACTTCAAGTCCATTTAACCTGGAAGTCTGAGAATGGAGAGAAAGATCAAAACAAGGAAAGGAAGAAAACGATTAGTTCAAGTGGAAGTCTCTTCTAAGAAGCAGTATGATTATGTTTAGAGGCAAAGAGGAGAGATACTAGAAGAGGAAAACCCTAGAAATATTCATGTATGGTAAAATTTTTGCTGTTTATTCCTTTTTGTCTGCTATTCATATTCAGGTGACTGCCAGGAAGATAGGTTTGGATTAGACTTTCCTATTGGCCAAACTGGGTGGTTTGCTTGAGGCATGGCCACGGTATTCAAACGTGCAGCAGGCTGCCTTATTTTTTATTTGTGTTCTAATAGTGTAACAGAAACATTTTTTTCTGTGCTGCATTCATTAAAAGATACAGGGTTTGTTCCATACCATACTATTTTGAATGTAGTTGCCTATTGCATAACATTTTAAGGTTGCAGAAGAATGTTTCTCTCCATAATAACTTAAGCATTGCCTTTATCACTAAAATGAACCCTCATCAGTTAAATGTTTGAAATCTGTTGATATAAATCTTAAAAGTCTGACTGTCATATTATACTGTTTGACAATTAACATGGTTTCTAGAAGCAAGACCCAGATAAGCAGAACTATAGCAACAGTCCTCCTGGACCACATATATCCTTGGCTAGAGAGCTATCAAAAAACATTATCCAACATACCAGCTGTGCTCCTGCCTTGAAGAATGAAGAGGAAAGGCCCTGGGCAGATGGTGGCAGTGGTGAGCCTGCATATGCTTGTTGCAAGAGCATGCTGCCTGTGACTAGGAGTTATTTCACTGGCCAGGAGTCTGGTAAAGTATTCCTTTTTAAATCACCATATAGATATCCAAGAGCTCAACACGTATACCTTGAGCTGCATGTCATTTTCCACCCTAAAACATGATGAAAAGAAGAAAATTTTATGAAAGCACCTGGGTAGGGAGGATGGGGCTTCCTTCCTAATGTAGAGTATTACATTCCTAAACTAATTGGTAGGCAGCTCAAGGAGAGGGGCAATTCCTCCAGAATGACACAATATAGAACTAAGCTTATTTTTTAAAAGATATTATGTAACACATCAAAAGGCTTTCTGGATTCTGTGGTCTCCAGGAAAAGAAGTAAGTAGCTTGTTGTACATAAAGATTCATGGTGATCCTATTTTGGGAGTAGAGGGCTGTAGGTAAGGAAATATTTTCTAAGTAATAACAAAGCAATTTATTGTAATGACTCTCATCACTTTGTGAAACTAAAGAGGTAGCTGGAAGTAGCAGCATGCTTCTCCGAGTCTAGAAGGTGCACGTTTGGCTTTTGCTGTGGATCAGTGTTACACAACTGAGGCCCCTTGTTCTGTCCTGACCCATAATAAATGCTGTTGAAATAAGAAAGGCCTGTAGGAAACAACCAGGCACGGTGTTATTGCTCACTGTGATGTGTAAGGGAAAATGGGGGCTATGGAGTCACAAATGATGGTGGGAAGTAGTTTTGAATAGCAGTTATATGCAGGCTCTGGAGGCAGGCCACTGGGGTCCCAACCTGGGTTTTACCATTTGCTAGCTCTGTGATTTTGTTTGAGTTCCTGAACCTCTTTGATTCTCAGTTTCCTCATCTATGGAATGGGAATGATAATAGCACCTCCCTCCTACATAAGAGAGTCAAATGATACCACATCAGTGAGACGTCTGGTGTACTGGCCTGCATATCAATGTTCACTTGGACAGATATTGAACTGACTCACCGTGAGCAGTCAGTGTTGGATGGGAAACACTACTAAGGCACAGGCACACCAGCTCTGTGAAGTATTTTGAGTTTTCTCACTTGGCTTTCATCAGTGGTTTACTCTGATTTGAGTTCTTCATAGGCTTCCTGTTCACTCACTTGTAAACACTGGCTTCCATTTCTGATTTGGTGGCTGTTTTTCAAGTATTTCATTTTAATATATGCTTGGTCAAGATTTTCATATTCTGGTTGCTTGAGATGTGAAACGTCTCTTGCTAGTCAACGCTTAGGAGACAATTCTTGTTACTACCACAAGAGGGCGCATGGATGACTGAGACGAAAAGAAAGGGAAAAAAATGACCTGACATGGACCTTGATCCTGGCTGTCTCAGTTCGTCATAATAATAATGCTCCCACTAATGCTGGTGTTAATATATACTGGATTTTAGAGTGAGAATGAGACTTGTATTAAATCTTCGTTGATCCTTATTAGGTAAGTGTCATAGCAGCTCATACTTTACTGTCAGTTCTGTTGGGCCTGGGCTGGAGCAGGAGGCTGTGGTGATTATACATGGGAGATCCTTGTTTACCAAGGACCATAGAACCTGGGATAGGCCACTTACAGCACATTAATTTAAAGTGTGAACTAATATTTTCTACAAGGAACAGAAAAGTTCTCACTGGAATTTTCGTTTAAAAAAGGGAACAAGGCGCTTAATTTTTAGCCCTTTTAGCTCACCAAGTTTGTGAATTGGAAGTGTATGTTAATTCTTCCAATTAACATAGCGAGTCCAGATATGTAACTTCTGTCAAGGGTGACTTTCAAGGCTTGGTTGTACAGTGTTATTTTTGTAGAAGTGTTCTAATATTTTATCAGTTTTGTCAAGTATTTCTCATCTTTAGATATTCAAATCACTCATCTTTAAAATAAAAATTCTGAAATAATAACCTATAGAAAGGCTCCAAGTATAATACAAAGAACGTTTGTTCCTCTTTGGGAGTGAATTGCCAACCTGACAATCAATCCTATCCCTTTTTAATATTTTATTTTGGGACAGAATCTTGCTAAGTTGCTCAGGCTGGGCAAGAATTTGGGATGCTCTTGCCTCAGATTCCCAGAGTGCTGGGGTTATAGCTATGCACTCACCTCATACCTAATTACGTCAGTATTTTCTATGAGCAGGGACAGTCTACTAACATAAGCATAGTGCAACACCAAAATTGGTAAATCAGTGTCAGTGTATTTTTGTCCTGCAGTTTTCAGGCCCCATTCTAGTTTCCCAGTAGCCTCAATAATGTCCTTTCTGAGCAAAAGACCTACCTGAGAATCATGAATTGCATTTAGTTGTCATATCTCTGTAGCTTCCTTCATTATTGGCTTTTCTGTGACTTTTATGACCCTGGCACTTGTAAAGATTCTAGACCAGTTATTTTGTAGAATAAAATTCTTGATCTGCCTCACCTGTTTCCTCCTGATTAGGTTCACACTTGCATTTTTGGCAGGAATCACAGAAGGGATGCTGCTTGCATATTCATTGAATCCTACCAGATGTGGCAGATTTCAGTTTGTTCCTCTTTGGGCTCCACAAGAACCCTCTTATTGGCTCTGATAGTCTACCCAGGCCACCACTTATCCGAAGTTGGGTGTCTTCTCCTCTTTCAGCGAGGACCTTGATACCTCAGTTTGGATAACCATGAGTCCTCTTTACCTTACTGTAACCCAACTACTGGAATTAATTCTGAATTTTTCAAAATGCAAGAGGAGGAGAAATCATTTTTTCTTTGAAGTGCCTGCTGTTCAGCCATCGTTTGGGCTAGTTTTTTCTGTTAACTTATTTAGCTCTGAGATCTTGTTTACACATGAACTGAGCAATTATTCAGCATTGCTTTTACTGACTTTCTAAAAAGTTTGCATTTTAAATCAAGGATCAGGATGGGTCTAAGATAGAGGAGCTAGGAATGCTCAGGTTAGCCTTCATTTGACAAAAGGATCCTCCCAAGGGTTTAGGCCATAGGGGTGACTATTTGGAGTTTCAGAATTCTGACCAGATACCCTAAGTGGAGACCCTTCAGGGTTCTTGCAGCTGATGTAGCTCAGCTGAGATGCACGTATGCAGGGGGGTTTGGGATATGGGATGCAGCCTCTTTCCAGCTTCAGTGTGCCAGAGAGGCACCTTGTTCTTGCCCTCTGGGAGGATCTAGGGAGTGGAATTCTTGGTGCTGGCAAGGATGGGCATTTCTGGGGATTTGGAAATGGAATCAGGACAGGCTATGCGAGATCAACAACATTCCTCTGAGGTAGAATCCTGAATGAAGCACACAAGAATCTGCTGATGGCAGGGACAGAGATTAATTTCTGGGGCCAGAGCAGCAAATGTGGGACCAGAGCAGCCAGAGAGGGCCGTGACCTACATGAAGTCACGCATCTGGTCTTGGTGGGTATAAGATTAGTTTCAAGGTCTAGGAAGAGTTTAAAATTGGAGTTTAAGGTGTATATATCTTGCCACATTGGGGTTGAGTATTGCTGGGTGGCAACATGCTGGCTGCCTTGCCCCTGGTTTATTCCTTCTCTGTCGTTTGTGACCATAGCTTGGGCATTGCATAGCACACATGGTCTGCATTGTGTTCAAATATGCCTGTGATACTGTGGAGGCTGTCTCTGACCATCCTCAGTTTTGGAGTGGGGTGCCGAGAGGCCTGGGATTGGAGGGCTTTGGAAAGCGACCTGTGCAGGAACATAAACGTCTGTTAAAGGAGCCTAAATGTGTTGCCAACATACATTTCTGAATTTTGTTATGCCATGGGAAAGTTCCTTGAAAGGGATTTTGAGAGGAGGAGGCCTGTGTGGGTGGTGGGTTTTTACCACTTTTCTCCAGGTTGTGACAATCTGTGAAATTAGTCCTTGGGGATGTTTTTAAAATAGCATTTTAAGGTCTGAAGTGGGGTGGTCTGACTAGTTGGGAGGAACGTATTAGCCCCTTGGGAAAGCCCGAAAGCAGTGATGGTGAGCCTGTTAGAGCTTTCAGGGATAACAGCCCTGTGGCACACGTATCAGAGATTCGCCCCCACTGACTTACAGCCTCTTTTGTCTTCCATCTCATGCCCACCCCTCACCAGTGGCTTCAGGAGATGCGAACAGTTATTCCACAGTATCATGATGTATCTAAGTTTTTGCATGGTAAACGGGTTTGTCTGCCCCAGAGTTCACTGATGGGGCAGATTCTGAGGAGGTTAATCAGCAGAGTACTTTGGAAGATTGAATCCCCTTTTTTGTGGTACTGGGGACTGAACCCAGAGCGTTTGCCTTGAGCTATATCCCTATCCCTTTTTAATATTTTATTTTGGGACTTGCTAAGTTGCTCAGGTTGGGCTTGAATTTGGGATCTCCTGCCTCAGATTCCCAGAGTGCTGAGATTATAGGCACACACCCCTGTGCCTGGTTGAATTTCCCTTTTGATGGGACAGGTGCTGTCTGTATGCTACAGTCCCCAGTGCTCCCTGTTGATGCCTTAGATCATCTCACCTTTTTAGGTAATTGACTGTGGAGTCCTGGGCTAAGGGCACTGAGGCTCCAAAAACACTGTCCAGTGACTACATTTAGCTCCAGGATTTCACTGATTTCTAAGCTTTGGGGCTGTAGGAACTGGTGCTTTGGTGGCACATATACTTGTAGTTCTCTGGGACTTTGGAAAGGTTAGCTACATGGGACATGCAGGACAGGAAAGGTTCATCTTTGGAATGATGACAACTCCAGTGGGGCATCCTCTGGTTGCAGTTATTGAGGAAGAAACCCAACTGGACACCTGAGGAAAATTCTTAAGGCTCAAGTTGATCAAGATAAGTAGAAAATGTTACAAGGAAGATAAATTTTTATTTCTTGGTGAATATAAGAAAAGGAGATCCTGTTTTGTTGGAATTTTAATTCTATGGACACAGAGGTTGATTTATTGTGAATGCAGGTTCATGTTTGTGTGTGTGTGTGGGTGGGCACGCGCGTGTGTGTGTACATGTGTGAATCTGGTGTTTTTAAATGACAACTCTACCTTGTATGTGGCCTAACCCTATCAGTAAGCAGAACATTATTTGAGAAAGGTAATAATTCCTTTTCTATTTCCATATAGATAATAGGACTTGTGGTAAAATTGATTGCATTGTTTTTTCCCTTCCACTAACTTCCAGAAGGACTACTTACATGAGATTTTATAAGCACCTTACAAAAGGTCCATATCATTGGCCCTAGGTAATACAGAGGAGAAAGGCAGAACTGGATAGAAGAATCTTTCAGAGGGAGAGACCAGACTTTTCTGATGTGTTCTCTCTCGAGACAGTTGGTTCTTGGGTTACCCAGAAACCGATAAATGGTAGGCCACCATGAGCTAAGGAAGATCAGTGTCCTTACTACCTTTGACATCCTAATTCTTGGGTTATCCAGAACAGACACAGGATAAAGTGGACTTGAAGGACAAAGTATTAATGACAGATCTCCTAGTGTGGGATGGTAAAGGGATTATAAATAGAACTCCATTATTTTAAGGGCTTTTCTGATCTTTCTTGGTCCCTCCTCTTGGAAATCTTTTCTCTCCTCACATCCTTCTAGCTACTCACATGTGGAATACAGGTCGGAGGCACCTGCCTCATTGGGGTGGTCTAAGATAAGGAGACAAGGGAAGAGTCCCCAAGCATCATGTGATCAGGACCAGGACCCCAAGGAAGAGGCCACGGCTACATTTGGTGGCCAGTGTTTCCCTCATATAGGGAGCTTCATCTGCTGGAAGATTGTCTACATACCTGTCCCTCTAGACGTGAAAGTGAGGCTTGTGGCCACAATGCTGGATTCCAGTTTCTGAGTTCTGGTTGAACTTTCCCACGGCTGAGGCAGGACCAACAGATGTGTGAAAATGTAATCTTACTTTCTGTACTGTATTCTACTTTTTTCTGAGACCTCAGCGAGACCCTTATGATGTGGATAGTGGGAAAACTCCTTTATCTTGCCCAGTAAGGACCATTACCTTCAAGTAAATCCTGAATCATTGCAGGGGCTGGCCTGGAGAAAAGAAGGCATAGCAAAACCCTGAACATTCACACTGGATGTCAGCACCCCTCAAGACAAAGGAGACCAGAGGAACAGCCAGGGTCCTCTTCCACCCGCCACAGTGCATGCTCCTCACTACCCCTAGAAGTGGAGAGGGTTTGGGGAGATTGCTTAAGAAGAGAGAAGCCCCATAGGGATGCTGAAGAGGACAACATTGATAAACTTAACGTTTTCCAATCGGGATACTTAAATATACATTATATTCCTAGAATTTTCCATCTACCTCTTAAAAACAAAATAAAACAATGATCTAAAATACACTAAAAATTGTGTCTTAGGGTTAAAACATTTCATATTTGCAAACAGTTTTTTTTTTTTTTTTAAATAAAGCCTCTAAAGCTCAATATGAACAACAACAACAATCTTGATTACAGGAATTTTGACAAGACTCAATTAAGATTAGAAAAAAGAATTACTCATATATATTTTGTGCCAGATACTTCCTGGCACTTTATACATAGTAATCTATTTAATTTTTACAACCCTGTAATATGCAAACAATTATATCCATTTTACATGTGAGGAATCTAAGGAATAGAAATAACTTGCCCAATATCCAAGAAGTCGATGAAGAGGTGGAGTTGAGGGTCACATTCCTTTTAACCACTTTTAGTCCAACAAAACCCAGCCTTGAAATGTAAATGAGAGTAGACAAGAAAATAAAAAAAAAAAATCAAAGCTAAATTAAAGCACTTGATGACAGTTTCTTTTTCCTTCCACAGTGATATGTTTATTGGGTTTCACTATCTGAATTGCCCATGATTTGAGTCTTTATTTTTCAGTCATGGGTTTGTTTATTCCAGTTGGGATTTCAGAAAATGGAGAAGATGCAGGATGGACTCACTGTCCTAGTAAAACCTCTGCTGAGAATCTAGTAAAATGCTTCCAATTTTTTCCCTGTGCAATGGGTTTAGAAACTATAAGAGTGTATGTTAATCACATCGTGGGTCCTGTTTTTTGATTTTCCTGTCATGGGCATATTTAAGTAACTTGTTAGTTAAGTCATTTGTTAATAACTTGACATTTTTCTATTGTTGGACATAAGTTTTCTTCAACTTCTTATTCTTATAAGCATGGCAAATAACCTGATGCATTTACCCTTTTCTGTTTTTTGTTTTTCTTTCCAGGATAGAATTGCAGAAGTAGAATTCCTGGCTCACAGGTAGGTACCTTTGATGTCTTGATGCACAGCGCCCACTTATAATACCCAGCAGTGTAGAAACGTCAATTCAGTCTTGTTTTTACCAATAAGGAGACCTACTACAGTCAGTGAAGTACAGTATATTTAAATTTAACATATATCATTCCTAGTGAAATTAAATCTTTTATCTTTTTTGACCTGGGGCTCAAAGCCAGGACCTCACATGTGCTGTCCCTCTGATGGACACCCCCGGCCTCCATATTTCTTTATTAGTTGTATTTCTTTTGTGAACTGTCTGGTCTGATTTTTCAGCCATTTATGATGAACTTTCTTTTCTGTTTCAGACCCCTACAAATGCAAAAGTGAAAAGGCCCAGGATTACCTTGTAGGGACAAATAAATACCGTCTTGAAAGTTTTGGAGTCTGAGGATTTTTTGGGGTGGTGAAGAAATTTGCAATAACTCAACTTTAACAATTACTTTTTAAATGCCCTTGCCTGTCACAAATTCACTCAGCTCAAAAAAAAAAAAAAAATTCACTCAGCTCTACCCTCCACTCCATGTTTTGAAGAAACAGGCTTTAGGACCTTCCACTTTTGTTCCTAACCTCTCAAAAGATTTCCATTCTTGTCTTCTCGGGAGCTATATCTAATATTTTTCCATTTGTTTTTAATCACTTTGAGGAATAAGTGACTATTACCTTTCCTAGGGATTTGATCTTCTTTTTGTGGCAATGGGTATTGAATATGCAGAGCACTGAGCTACATCCATAGCCCTTATTTAATTTAAATTTTGAAATAAGTCTTGCTCAGTTGCCCATCATAGGCTTGAATTTGCAGTCCTTCTGTATCAGCCTACCAAGTAGCTGGTTTAGGGTTTTCTAAATGCCCAGCTAACATTCACCTTCTTGGTATCTTCCCAGAAGAATTAAAAATATCATACCACAGCGATATATGTGCAGCAATGTTTATAGCAGTACAATTTGTAATAGCTAGATGTTGGAAACAACCCAAATGCCCATCAGCCAAGGAATGGATAAGAGAGATGTGTTCGTTTTATATAATTGAGTACTACTCAGTCATAAGGATAAATGGGAGATTTTTGTAGGTAAACAGATTCAACTCGAGACCATACTCCTGAGTGGAGTAAACCAGATGCACATGTGTAAGCATCATATTGTCTCCCTAGTGTGAGAAGCTGAAAGAGTAAATAAGATCCAAAATGTACAATAGATATTGTAAAATGGGAAGAAACTTCAAAAAGAGAAACTGGGATTGGGGGATGGAGAAAAGAAGGAAGGGAAGAGCAAAACATTTAAAAAATATAAAAGATAATTAAGATAGTTACGTTACTAATTTCTCGTAGTTCACTGAAAAGAAAGGTTTGTGCTCATAATGTTTGGACAATTAAATGCTTATATCTTCTATTCTGAGTAAAGATAAAATATACAATGTATTAACCATTGTTATCCTCCTATTGTTATGAAATGTTGCTTTTTTCTCTTCAAAATAAAGGAAAGAAACTAAAAAAAAAAAAATGCCCAGCTAAGAATAAATGGCACCTTTGTGCAAGTTAGACACTTGGACATCTTGAGCATGAAGACACTCTTCCTCTTCACAACAGCTGCTCACAAGGACAAGATGCTTAATCTATATGGGGTTCTTTTTTTAAAAAGAGAAAAGAATAAAGACAAAATAACAAAAAGATATAAACAAAATAAAAGCAATAAAAATGATACAGAATTTCAAAACAAGGCGATAGGAAATTAACAATGGTTGTTGTATTATATATTGTTATCTTCAAAGTGGTTACTCGGATAACCAGATATATAGGCAGGTAAGACTGATCAAACAAACATTAACTGTTCCTTTCAATAAACCAAAAGGTCAGTACAATTATCTTAGCTATCTGTGTGTGTGTGTGTGTATTTATTTATTTCCCTTCTTTTCTTTTTTCCCTCATCCCAAACTGCTTCTTTTGAGCAGTTTCTTTCCCTTTTGCAATATCTGTTATACCTTTCAGATTTTATTTTTTTTGTTTTGTTTTTGTTTTTCTTCTGGTACCAGGAATTGAACTCACAACCTTGTGCTTGCCAGGCAGGCACTTTGCCGCTGAGCTAAATCCCCAGCCCCCTTTTCAGATTTTATTTACTCTTTCAGGTTCTTACACTAGGGAGATGATACAATGTTTGCACATGTGGGCCTCATTTATTTCACTTGTGAGTATGGTCTCTAGTTGCATCCATTTACCTATAAAAGCCTCGAGTTTATCTTTCTTTATAGCTGAGTAATGCTCCATTGTATAAAAATACCACATCTTTTTTATCCATTCTTTGGTTGATGGGCATTTGGATTGTTTCAAAGATTTAGCTACTACAAATTGCACTACTATAAACATGGGTGCACATATATCACTGTGGTATGATGTTTTCAGTTCCTCTGGAAAAATACCCAAAAGGAGAATAGCTGGGTTAAATGGGACCTCTAATCATAGTTTACTGAGGAATCTCCAGACTGATTTCTACAGTGATTGTACCAGTCTACACTCCAACAGTGGAGAGGGGTTTTTTTTTCCCCCATAGCCTTTCCAGCATTTGTTATTTGTTGATTTCTTGGTGATAGCCATTCTTTCTGGGGTGAGATGGAATCTCAGTGTTGGTTTAATTTGCATTTCTCAAATGACTAATGACGTTTGAACATTTTTTCATGTATTTATTCGCCATTAGTATCTCTTCATTAGAGAAGCGTGTATTCATCTCAGATGCCCATTTTTGGATTGGGTCTTTGAATTTGTGGGGTCTGATTTTTTTTTTTAACTCTTTATATGTCCTAGATAGAAGTCCTTTGTCTGAGGGGCAGTTAGCTGAAATTTTTTCCTAATTCATGGGTTTTATTTTGACTCTATTGGTGATTTCTTTTGATGTGCAAAAGCTTTTCAATAACATGAGATACCAGTTGTTGATTCTTTGAAGTCTTTCCCATGCAGTTTGGTTTTTGTTCATAAACTCTCTGCCTACCTATGTCTTCAAGATTTCTACCTACTTTCTCTTCCAGTAGATATAGTGTTTCTGTTTTAATATTTAAATCTTTAATCCATCTTTTCTTTAGTGTGTGGTGATAGATATGGGTCTAGTTTTATTTTTCGGCATGTGGAGAGCCAGTTTTTCAGGCATATATGGGGTTCTGTTCTGTGCATTTTGTATAGGTTAACTTGTCCTTATAATAATCCTATGAGATAGTCATGGCTATCTCTCTCTCTCAGATGGAAGACTGAGGCCCAGGTAATGTATTAGCTTAGCTGCAATAACAAATACCATACACTAGGTGGTTTAGCAATACATTTATTTCTTCTGGTTTTAAAGGCTGGGAAATCCAAGATCAAGCTTGGCAGAGCTGTTTCTGCTGAGGGCTGTCTTGCTACCCTGAAGATGGTTTCCCTCTCACTGTGTCCTCATGTGGTAGAAAGCTAGCTCTGGTCTCTTCATCCTCTTCAGTGACTTGCACAGCTTTAAAGGCACTGGCAGTGGGACTTGTTTCTGTTGAATGTGGCATTGTAGGGATTTGGGTTTCAAGGTAAGGATAAAAAAACCCTTACTGATGTGAGCTGTACACCCGCTAAGCAGCATGCATGGGAACTGGAATGGGAACTGTCTGCTGGTTCTAAGAGTTGTTAGGCAGTGAGAGAGTCGTGGTCTCAGGAACAAAACTCTGGGTCTGTATGAGGCATCAATCTCAAGTTTCAAGACAGACCCTGAAAGCATTAACACCGTCTACAAATAATAACTCCAGAATAATCCTATTGGGCAAGTGGTGATAATGAGGAAAGTTCCCCATCTTGGGATCTTGCTTATTACAAAGGGCTGGGAGAAGGAGGAACTAACGTACTTGGCATCTGTGTCCATGTGAGACTCTCCCACAGGAACTGCATATCATCAGGCTTCATGGTTTAGCTCTGGAATGTCCTCCAAAGGCTCATGTAATGAAGGCCTGGTCCCCAAGCCTTAGTGCTACTGGGAAGTGGTAGAAACCTTAGCAGGCAGGACTTAGATGGAGAACTTGGGGGATATTAGAGTGTTTCTTTGAAGAGGGCATTGGAACCCTGGCTCCTCCTTTTCTTTCTGCTTCCTGGCTGCCATGAAGTGAACACCTGTCCTTTGCCAAGCTCTTCCGCTTCCTCACCACAAACCTAAAAAGCAGTGGAGCCAGCTGACCATGGACGAAATCCTCTGAAGCTGTGATCCGAAACAAACCTTTCCTCCTCTAAGTTGTCCTTCTGAGGTGTTTTGTCACAGGGAAGGAAAGCTAACACGCCAGGCTCACCGCAGTTGTACCCACAGCCTTGAGGTCTGGACCTAATGTGAAAGTGGGAACTGGATCCTGGGCCCCTCTACCTTGACGCTTGTCCCCAGGTGTGGCTGGGGTTGCAATGGCTGGCTGTCTCCTTTTCTTCAGTGAGGAGATGACCATCAGTACTTTCCCATTTTTGTCTGTACAGCAACCCTGGGTGGGAAGTTATGTTAGTTTTCTGCCATCACAAAGTACCACTTACAGTATGGAATAGCAGAAATGTGCTGTATCTCGGTTCTAGAGTCTAGAGGTCTGAGACCACGGTGTCAGCAGGTATGATTTCTTTTGGGGCCTCTCGCCTTGGCTTGTAAGTGGCCATCTTTATGCTGTTGTGTTGTCATGTGGTCTTGCATCTCCAGTTTGTGTCCAGATTTCCCCTTCTCTCTCCTCTGTATCTCCCACATACCCTTCCTCCCTTTTTTGTGCTACTTTGCACTGAGCTACATCCCTAGACCTTTTTCACAATTTTTTGAGACAAGAACTTGCTCAGTCACTAAATTTCCCTGGCTAGACCTGAACTTGTGATCCTCCTGCCTCAGCCTCCTAGAGTGCTGGGATCATAGGTGTGTGACATCATGCCTGGCTATATGTCCTCTCATACCAGTCACATGGGAACAAAGCTAACACATATGGTCTAATAGTATCTTCATCATCTCTTGAAGGGAACTAGGTCCACAGGTATGTTCTAATGTACTGAGGGTCATGACTTCAACATGCAGATATTAAGAGAGGGTAGAGTATGCCCATAACAGGGCAACACTGTTACCTTCTCTTTATAGCTGGGAAGAGACCAGGGATCAGGGGCTTCCCCAAGGTCATACAGCCCTGGACCCCCAACTCAGTTCTCCTTCCAGGGTGGGCCTCAGCCACAGGATGGCTGAACTTTCATTTGCTGGGGAAATAGTGTCTTCAGAAGATCTAGACTTACAGTTCTTCTTTGGTCTTGCTGTGAAAGGACCTTCCCCCACCCTCTTCTGTCTTACATTGTCTTCCCCTAAAGTTTATCACGATCTGAATAGAGTTAGGAGGTAAGCCCACAAAGAACCTGTCATAGAAAGGGAAAGGGACATAGGTAAGAAAAGCCACAGAAGATGCCTGGCTGAGGTTACTGCTGTGGGCAGCTGGGGTTCAGTCCTGCTGAGACACTCTGAGAGATCATATAAAACCCACCTCGGAGGCATATTCTCAACACACAGGGTGAGCAAACCAGGCCATTGATCCACTAACTCCCCACAAGCATGGGTTTAAGGCTGATCCCTAGGAGTGTTCACTCCTCCAGCATTTCCAGCATCCCTCAGGGAGGGCCACTATAATTATGCCTACACCTGGAGAATGCTAAGACTCTGTATTAGTTATCTGTACTACACAACAAATTACTCCAAGCTTAGAAACTTAGAACAACAGATTTGTTAACACATAGTTTCTGGGGGTCAGGAGATAAATCTGGATGTGATTTAACTGGTCTTCTGCTTCAAGGTTTCTCAAAGTATCGGCCAGGGCTAAGACCTGAGCTGAAGAAGGCTTGACTGGGGAAGGATCTGCCTATAAGCTCAGGTGGCTGTTAGCAGAATTCACTTCCTCAGGGACTGTTGACTGGATGCTACCCTCATTCTCTTCCCATGTGGGTCTCTCCAATATGGCTACTTAATGAAGCATTCAGAGAAGAAAGCAGTCAAGCGTTTGCTAGCACTAGAAAGTGTCTTATGTAACATAACTGCAGAAATGGCATCTCATCACCTTGACTGTATTCTACAGGGTAGAGGCAAGTCATGGTTGCACCTGAGGGGAGTGAGTTTTACAGGCTGTAAATCCCAGGAAATGGGGGTTCTTGGGGCCAGCTTAGGGGCAACCTCGCAAGGAACTGTGTGGCTACTCCACAGCCACCTTCTCTGTACGTTATTGCTGTTCAGAAACATTTTTGTCAAGAGACCTAGAGAAAAATAATTCTATTGCAAATCAATCAGGAAATCTAATTTTGTGCTTGGTCTGGCCACAGGGGTTAGCTAGCTATGTTGAAGTCAGGCCTGGGCTCTCCTGGGCTTTGCTGTCATGAGTTGAAGGCCAGGCACCAGGGCCTGCAACAGTGGGAACTTGGAAGTCCTGTGGGCTGGTGATGGCTGCAGCCAGCACACTTTGTGCCTCCTTTTGTTGGCTTTCTAAGTGAATTTGGAATTGACTGAGAATTTCTAAAATTCAATGAAGATTTTCACAGACTGTTAATATGGGACTTAGAAAGCCAGGCATGGTGGCACACGCCTGTAATCCCAGCACTCAGGAGGCTGAAGCAGGAGGATCATTGCGAGTTCAAGACCAGCCTGGGCTACAAAGTGTGCTCAAGGCCAGCCTGAACTGCATAGCGAGACCCTGTCTCAAAACAAACAAACAAACAAAAAAAAAAACAAAAAAAACCGTGGAACTTAGAGAAGTCTTGTTTCCTGTCTGACATCAGAACAATGCCTGAAGCCATGATTTTTAGCATGAATACTCAGATTGGGTCTAGGAGATGTGGAACACATTTTCTTTTTAAATCCTGTAATGGCCAAAGGAACAGAATCACTTTTTTTGGAAGAAGGAAAGCATATCTGCCTTGTCAGTGTCTTATAACAGTTCTGCTTTTAAATATCTATTGTTTTTTGTCCTCTTTGAGAAACTGTGACACATGGTAGTTAGGGCCTATGAGCTCTGCGGCCAGAGTGCTTGAGTCTGAATACTGGCTTAGCCAGCTATTCGCTGGGCAACCACAAGAAATTACTTAACCTCTCCATGTCCAGTTTCTTCATCTGTAAAATAAAGATACTACTACCGCCATTCTCATAGGGTTCTTGTGAGGATTAATTAAGAATGCACATAAGACTTCAGAACACACCAGGAGTCAATGAGGGATTGCTGTTATTTGAGAAAGCTAACACACTAAGGAGAGAAATTTGAGTGACAGAGATACTTGAGAGGATTTATGAAACCTGCTATTTCTGTACTAAAGAAAAATGTTTAATTCATTTTGGGGTTCTGTTTAGGAATACAGCTCACCTTCCCTGTGGTTTCTGTACTTTGGAGAACAGGTATCCACATTCCTAGATCTCATCGCGCATCGTGTCACAGCCCCAGGAGTGTCTCAGCAAACACACCGCCGCAGGGCTTCCTTGGCCCACAGACCTTGGGTGTGGAGACTGGGGAAAGGAAAGGGTTTCCCTGTCTATGCCCGGCTTGCCGTAGTTCTCCTAGCAGGTTTCTGCAGGAGAATGGGGAGAGGCCTGGAAGAAGGGGTGGGAGAGAGGGAGAAGCCTGGACAGGCTGCAGCAAGGAGGGCTGCAGGGGCTGGTGGGGGTGGGGGAAGGGAAGGAGAAATTGACCCTGGCCTCTAAAGCCTGCAGCCTGTTCTGGGGCTGCTGTGAGGGCACTATCTCTTTTCTAAGTCAGTAGTAGCCTACACAGAGTGGAGGTGCTTAAATGCTGGTGTGCAAGAAAATCACTAGGAGTGTTTGTTAAAAACATCAATGCCCGAGTCCACCTGCAGAGATTCTGCTTTCACGGCAGCAGGTGGTGGGGCTCAGGGACTCTTGTGTGGGTGTGGGTGAGCTGTGATACCCTAGAAACTGGAAGGAGCAGAAAGAAATCCTGGGCTCTGACTTGGGGTCAGTGGCCAGAGTGATTTCTGGCTTAGACTAGATGTTGATTTAGGGGAGCTCTGGGGGCCTAGTGGAGATTACAGAGGTGTAGAGTCCCAGGCTGCCCCTTGAGCTTACCCTCGTGGGGCTGCAGGAATACTGTACACAGTGCTAGAGACGGTCTGGGTAGTGCCAGCCCAGAGAGTTAAGTGGTTTCATCAAGGTCACACAGCCGATTAATGGCAGGTCTGCGACTGCGGCCAAGTTCCTGGTCCCCCATGGGGTTCCATACTCCCTACTCTCCCGCGCCCAGTCGGGTGCGAAGCTGGGGAAGGGAAGAGGCTAAGGAGGGTGTGCAGTGACTGTTGGGAGGGCCAGGCCATCCCCAAAATTTGTCCTGCTTGGAAACGGAGTCAGAATAAGGATAATTCTGGTTTAGAATTTACTCAACAATTGCTGTGGACATCACCAACGGAGTTAGCACCCAAAGACAAGGTGCCTTTCCCTAACCAGAAAATATATTCCAAGTGTAAGCCTCTTTTTTTAAAAAAAAAATTTTTTAACCCAGGGAGGAGACAGCCCCTATGGGAGCCGTCGCTTTCCTTTTCTTGCAAGTCACTGGGTGCTCCCGTTGGCGCTGGGCTGGCCGGGCAGTGAGCGCGGCGGCGGGCGCGGGTCTGCGGCAGCGGCGGCGACACTGCGGGCGCGGGCGGGGACACTGCAGCACTCGGCGCTCCGGCGCCGGCCGCGGCCCGCTGGAGGGGGCGCTGTGGCACGGCGAGGCGGCCTTTTGTCAGCGCGCACGGCGGGGAGAGCTCTCATTTCCTCCCCGCCTCCTGCGGGAAATGGATTTAATTCTGGCCGTAGGGCCGTGAGGGGCGCGCGGGAAGGAGAGCCTTTTGTCAAGGAGTGGCAGCTTCCGCGCCGCAGCCCGCACGGAGCGCCCCGCCGTGGGATCCCGGCCGCTGTGCCTCGCGGGCGGCAGCATGGGTGGGAAACGCCGCTCTGCACAGTAGCGGGGCGGTCGATGAGGCGCATCCCCGGACCCCACGGAAAGCCCCAGCCGACCCGCAGTGGCGCACCGGCGATGGAGGGGATGCAGGGCAGGAGGTAAGCAAGGCCTTCTTGGGAAGGGCCTGGCGGGCTCGCCTGGGTCGTGGTGCGTTCAGCGGCGGCACCGGGACCCCAAGCATCCTGCCGCCCAGCGGGAGGCAGCTGGCTGGTCCAGCGAGGCGAGCTGCTGTCCAGGCTTCTGGGCGCGCCGTTTACCCGCGAGGCAGCCCTGGCCGTGGTCGTGTGCTCTACGCCTAAAGGTTTCTGGTTATGATGTAACATTTGGAAATCCGGGCTGCAAGCCCGCTCCCCGTAGGCGGACGGTGGGACTCTCCGGCGCGAAACGCCCGGCCGGACCGGTGGGGCTTTCTTCGGTCTGGATTTGCCTCTCCGGGCTCCCCTCCCTTCCCCTTTCCTCCCCTCCCTTCCATTCCCGCTCTCGGCCACCGCCCTCCTGGGGAGCCCCGGGCCTGCTGCTCCCCCACGGGGGCGCGCTGAGCAGGTGAGGCGGGTCCACAGCTGACACAGGAGCGGGCTCAGTGGCTCTGGATTTGTATGCAACCCCATCACTTTGGAGGGAAAAGAGCCCACTGTCCCCGAGGTATTGCCGATGTGTTCATCTGTAGCTTCCATTTTCCCTCCCCTCACTTCTGCGTCGCCTGAAAGGAAACCCCCTGGGTCCAGGAGGCCGGAGTCAGTGTCTGCTAGCTTAGAAATCGCGATCACAGCCTACCTGGCCTTGGGGAAGGAGGAGAGGGTGGGGGCACACTGCTTTAGGATGTTGATCAGGAGCTCTGGTCTGGCCTATTGTCTTGCCTCTACTCCTTTTTCTCATCCATAATCTCCATCCCCTGCCAAATATAAATAAATACAGTTAAAAAAAGCACACCCCAGCCTACACCCTATCAAATTCTTTAAAAAATTGTCATTTATCCATGACACACAATTATTATCCATTGGTTTCTTTACGCCCACCCTTCCCTCTGGCAGTTTCTCATCTAAGATTCAACTGACTCAAATGAGGCTTATAAATAATAGAAATCAAATCTGAGTTGCTAGAGTGGATATTTCTGACTAAGCCCTAAGGAGGGGTTGATTGGCACCCTGGCAGGAGCATAGGGCACAGGGCCCGCTCAGTTTCTTTCACACAAGTTGGCCAGGTGTGGTGGTGCACGCCTATAATCCCAGCACTCGGGAGGCTGAGGCAGGAGGATCCTTGCGAGTTCGAGACCAGCCTGGGCTACAAAGTGAGCTCAAGGCCAGTGAACTGCATAGTGAGGCCCTGTCTCAAAAAAAAAAAAAATGCAAGTTTGTGGGGCCTGAGATATTTCACTTGCATGGTAAAGGGTGTCCCCATTAGTGGGATTTGAAAGTTACGTTTCTGTTTTAAGGAAAAAAGTAGGGGGTCAAAATTTGAAGCAAAAGTGCTTTACACGAGTATGGCCAGAGAGGATAGCTATGAAATTTCAGCCTTGCCAGTAACGCCTCCCATGAGCATATGAATAATATATGTCAGATTTTAAAAGGGGGTTAGGCCACTTGATATTTTTACTTTCTAATGTTCTACCTCCAGCCTGTAAAGTGATGTGACTTTTCTCAGTGCCTGCAAACCAGAATCTTGCCCAACCCCTTCATCCCTTTCCCCCACATAGGGCTCAAGTAAGAGCAAATTTTTCATTGTGACTGAGGTGAACATATTTTGAAAACCAACTAAAGGCAATCACGCTTGGATCCCACACCCACAACAATTTTGTGGGATTCCCTATGTTCATTCTTCCTTATTTGAAGCGTGGATACTGGGAATCGAACCTAGGGCTTCATGTGTGCTACACAAATGTTCTACAACCAACCTATAACCCCAGTCCCATTTAAATTTTATTTGAGATAGAATATTGTGCTAAGTTACCCAGGCTGGCCTTGAACTTGCCATCCTCCCACCTCAGCCTCCCAAGTGACTGGGGTGACAGATGTGTCCCATCATACCCTGTGTTCTTTTTTTGTTCTCTAAATTGCATCCGCCCCTACTAGAATTGTGTTTGTCCCACATACAATACACAGTGGTGCCTGAAATGACAGTACTACCTGTGCCTTCTCAGGCTTGGGTTGGAATTTGCTTTAGATATTAGTATAGTGCTGGAGTTAGCACACCAGCTATTAAGGTTTACAGATGATCAAATGTGTTTGTTGGCAGAGGGTTTAATGTTAAGATTTTAAATATATATAAAAAAGATTTTGGAAAATATATTTATCTATCTCCTATCTTGTTCCACAAGGGATTTAAAAACATTTGCCCGGACTCATAAAATATAACAAGGCAGTCTAATTTGAAGTAGAAGGGAAAGAAAAGATGAACCTCAAGGTAGAGGCCCTGGCAGGGAAGGAAACAAATCCAGCTCTAAACCTTCCAGCAGGTATACAGAAAGATAATTGACCAGCCATGGCTCATATGTTTTATTTATTCATTAACTCATTCACTCACTTGTTCACTCAACAAACATTCAGTGAGAATTTATTACATGCCAGGTTCTGTGAGAAGGGCTAGGAACAAAGGGGTGACACAGACACGGTTTCTCCCCTCTTGGTACTTAAAGATGAATGTAAGAAGTGGACATTCATCCAGAAATCTGTCAGACAAATCTATAATTACAAATTGTGATAAGAGCTGTGCAGGAAAAATATAAAACACAAAACATCCCATGTCCAGCATATGAAAACACAAAATAAAATCTTCCTAGGGAAAATACATCAATTCTTGATTCTAAGATCAGAGAGGAACTCTTTCCAATGTAGCATTTAGGACAATGTCTTCAGCCATTTCCTTGTCAGACAAGGATGGCTTTACCATGCCTTTTTTTTTTTTTTTTTTTTTTTTTTTTTTTTGGTGTCCCCCAGCGTGAGCTGATGATGCCACATCACAGGCCTCGCACACCCTTGGCATTTCCGAGGATGTGTGAATTGTGAGGGGCTTGTGCATTCTGTAAAATTAGTGGCTTTATCCCAGGGCAATTGGAAATGATTAATAATTAGAATGTGTTCTGAATCACCTTGACGGCCCAAGCTGGTGTGGAAGCTGACATTGCCTCTGTGTCTTCCCATTTGAGCCAGAGTGTGGGAAAGAGGGGGTAGTCTGAGTGGAGTATGACTCTGGAAAGGGCACGGGCCTGTCCAGTGCCAAAGGACAGCTCCTGGTGATCGCCGCTGTCCTGGCAGGGAATGAAGCTTTCACGCTGGTTTACCTTCCTATGGACCACGTTGCAGCAATTTATTAGCAGCAGGTGTTGTAGTAAAAATGCACAAAAATGCTACTGCTGGTTTTAACAATAATTGGATTAGGTTTCCATTTATTGCAGGTCAAGTAACTCCCCAGTAAGTACCTTAGAGCTAAGGTAATGAGATGGGTAATTTGCTGTAATGGTGAGTGAAGTGGAGCCAGATGCCTGATTTCATAGCCTGATTTTCTCCTTACTAGCTGTGAGAATTTGGGCAAGTTACTCAACCTCTCTGTTGTTCAGTTTCCTTTTATGTTTATAAGGGTATAAACATATAGTACTGATTTCATGAGGATTAATTTGTTATTATACATGAAAGACCTGGAGCATATAATAAGCTTCCATAAATGTTAACAATGACTATTTCTATGAGTTTAAAATGATGGCATATATATATATTTATACTATAGGATGGTGTTCCCCTCCCATTTCTTTATTATTTTCAGTTTTAATTTTATTAACCCATGTTTCCAGTATATAATGATTACATTCCTTGTGACAAGTTGGTACATATACATGATACAACTTAATTCTTTTTTTCAACTTTTTTCCTCTCTTTCATCTCTTAATCCCCTTCCCATAGGAGAAAGATCTGTCAAACTACTTCTTATTATCTATCCTTTGTTTTGTTCTTTATTTATACTTTGTGTTTCTTATGTAAGAGAAATGATGTGATATTTAAGATCATATGTCTGGTTAGTTATTTCACCTAACATTATGGTCTCAAAGTGCATTCATTTTTCTACAAATGACTCAAGTTTATCCTTCTTCATGGCAAAGTAGCACTCCACTGTGTATAAATATCACATTTTCTTTATGTTGGTGAACATATAGGCCACTTCCAAGATTTAGCTACTATAAATTGTGCTGCTATAATCATGGGAATGAATATATCACTGAAACATGATGACTTTAACTCTTTTGGGAAGATAGCTAGAAGGGGAATATATGGGTAAAATGGAATTTCTAGTTTTAGTTTTTTGAGGGACCTCGATACTGATTTCCGTAGTGGTTGTACTAGTTTTCATTCCCGTCTACGATCAAGAAGGGTTCCTTTTCTCTGAAGCCTTGCTAGCGCTTGTTATTATTTGATTTCTTGATGATAGCCATTCTTTCTGGGGTAAGAAGTGATTTTAGTGTGGATTTAGAGAAATTTGCATTTCTAAATGGCCAGAGATAATGAAATTTTTCGTGTATTTATTGACCATTTGTACTTCTTCTGAAAGGTGTCTATTCATTTCACTTGCCCATTTTTTGATCAGGCGTTTTATTTTGGGGAGCCTAATCTTTTTTAGTTCTGTATATATTCTGGATATTAGTCCTCTGAGGAATAGCTAGCAATTTTTTTTTCCCATTTGCTAGGTTGTCTCTTTACTCTGTTGGTTGTTTCTTTTGCTGTGCAGAAACTTTTAAATTTAATACAATCTCAGTTGTTGATTTCCTGTGCTATTAGTGTTTTGTTCAGGAAGTCCTTGCCTATGCCTGTGGCTTCAAGAGTTTTTACCTGTTTTATCTTCCAGTGATTGTTTCTGTTTTCACATTTAGATCTTGATCCATTTTGATTTTAGTTTAGTAGGTGGTGAGAGATATGGACCCTTGAGTCAAAATTCTATGTGTGTATAGCCACTTTTCCCAGTGTCATTTATTAAAGAGGTTATCTTCCAGTGTATGTTTTTTGCCCCATCATCAAAAATCAAATAGCTTAATGTGCCTGGCATTGCTTCTGAATCCTCTATTCTGTCTGTTGATCCATGTGTTGGTTCTTGTGCCAGTACCATGCTGTTTTTA